GCGTCGACGCCCAGGGACTGCGAGGTGGACCGCGTGCCGCGCCGAAGCGCGGCGGGGCCAGCATCGGCGGAGCGACAGGCTGAGCCCAACTTCTTTTGACCGCACCCCCTCAGACCTGGCGTTTGCAGAACCTTGCAGCACTGCAGCAGCAAATCACGTTCCTCCTCCTCCTCCCTTTCCTCCTCCTCCTCCTCCTCCTCCTCCTCCTCCTCCTCCGCCTCCTCCTCCCTTTCCTCCTCCTCCCTTTCCTCCTCCTCCTCTCCTCCTCCTCCTCCTCTCTCCTCTGCCTCCGCCGCCTCCGCCGCCTCCCTCCTGCCTCCTCCTCCTCCTCCTCTCCTCCTCCTCCTCCTCCTCCTGCATTCCTCCTCCTCCTCCTCCTCCGCCTCCGCCGCCTCCGCCGCCTCCTCCTGGTCCTCCTCCTCCTCCTCCTCCTCCTCCTCCTCCGCCGCCTCCGCCGCCTCCGCCGCCTCCGCCGCCTCCTCCTCCTCTTCCTCGTCATCCTCCTCCTCCGCCTCCGCCGCCTCCTCCTCCTTCTACTATTGCAGAATCCTTCTAGACCCCATCTTCTGCGTTTTTCCCCAGAATTATGTTGCTCCCATCGTACTTAAGTGCCACATCCCAGAAATCATTCCGATCACCCGGAGGAGTGTCGAAAGAGTGTCCAACGAGTGTCGAAACAGTGTCGGACGAGTCTCTCCCGGGGCCCGACACGTGAAGACCCTCGAGTTTCGGTACTTTTTTGGTGCTCGAAATTCTGTCTGATTATCAAGGCTGAGGTAAGGCGGAACATCATAACCTTAGAACGGACCCATGGGGTCTATGGCGGCCCCAGGGCGGCCCCGGGGGTGCGGCGCAGGATCGCCCCGAGGCGTCCCACCTTCGAGAGGGCACAGGACGGCCAAAACGGCCCAGGCAGGGTTCAAAATTCGCCCTCCCGACGCGACGAAAGCTCCCTAGAGGGCCAAAGAGGAGTGGAAAATCCAAAAACCCAAATCGTCAAACCTCGAACGTCGACTATCTTCGTCGTCCTCTTCCTCCACCCCAACGGCTCAATATGCATGTTACTCGTCTCATCCCTCCCCGACTACGGACCACGTCCTGAAAGTGTCCCGCCTCTCCGTGTCTTTCTATGTTTCGCACGCGGAGCAATTCTGGTGCTTCTCAATGGTGGTTCCTCCTCCTCCTCCTCCTCCTCCTCCTCCTCCTCCTCCTTCTCCCTCCTCCCTCCTCCCTCCTCCCTCCTCCCTCCTCTCAGCGCGGGTGTCACTGTGGGATCGGCACTGTGCTCTCGTCGTTCAGAATGACCTTCTCGCCCAGAGGCGGCCCCCTCTTCTGGATCCGACTCCCTCCTACTCGCTGCCGCCCCGCTCCTTCCGCCTCCCACGCCTTCCCCTGGCCACCCTGCTCCTCCCGCTCATCCCAAGAGCTGCTGCTGCTCCTCCTCGTCATCCTCCTTCCTCATCCTCCTCATCCTCCTGCTCATCTGCCACGTCCTCCTCCAATGTACGCAGGTCCCCTTTCCTGATTGCGCATGACACGATGAGGCTCTCTGGGGGGGGGGGGCAGGTCCGCTGTGATACCGTGGGCGAAAAAAAAAACAAATCAGCGAGATGGGAATGGATGGATGGGAAGACCAAAATATCAGATACGGCACGATCGTGCCCAGCTTTTCGTCCGTCTCCCCTCTCCCTTCTCCTCTTTTTCCAAACTCCCCGCAGCCCTGCCTCCGCCTCCACCACCTCCTCCATCCCACTTCCTTATCGCACTGCCAGACGTGTCGGTAGGGCGGGCCAGGCGTTTGTCCTGATTGAAGTGTGCAACAGCTTCGCAAACGGAGGACGGCTGGTCTTCAGAAAATGTGGCTTTCGCCTTAGCGCCACGCGCATTCGTTGTAAAAGGTTGTAATGCTTTCACGGGTGGATGGCGGCTGGTTTTCAAAAGGCTGTTCCCGCCTTAGCGCCGCGCATACTCGCATTAAAGCATTGTAGCAATTTCAATGCGGAGGGCGTCTGCTTTTCGAACTGCGGCTCCCGCGTTAATGTCGCGCACATTCGTCATACACACGCGCAGCCAATTCGCAAGTTGAAGGCTGCTCCTTTTCAAACTGTCTACCAGCCTGGAACACATCCCTATCCCGATGTTGGGCATCGCCTCATCACGATGGCGATCTTAGGGATTTCCTCAGTTTCTGAGGGTGCATCCCTAAGATTGCCATCTCCTCTTAGCGTGCAAATCTTAGGGATAGGGATATGTTCGAGGCTGGTGAACTGTGGCTCTCGCGGCGGCGGCGCGCACACTCGTCTGCATAGCTTGCAGCCGTGGCAGGGACACGCCTCGTACGCTCGGGATCTCTCGGTTCAAGTCGGGCCTGTCCCCCTTCAGGGGGATTGTCGACGAAGAATAAAAGATACCCCGAAAATAGCACCAGAAATAATCAAAACATAGTCTGGGACTATTTGTTGAATATGTGTTCGCCTTTTTGGTGAAATGTTGTTTTTCC